TCTCGCCGGTGTCCTCTCCATTAGACATACTCCCATGTTTTACAAAAAACAGCGCATGGAAGTGAGCGTCAAAGCACAGGAGGTCCTGACTGCGAACAAGTTAAATCTAGTCTCACTCTCAGAAAACTCCCTTCTAGTAAATCAAAGAAAGCAGGCCATTATCACTAAGAATCTTTCCTAAACCCAATTAATAAAGCATTTTACCAAGAGAGGGCGACTCTGAAAGCGCGGGGCGCAGGACAGTGCGACTGCTGCCGGAAGGGCCCCGGCCCTGAGCGGCCGGAGTGTGTGGGTTCTCGGCGTTCACAGTCGGGGTCCGGGTGGATCTCAGGGGACAGTGAGACGAGAGAGGGCTGGGGAATGGGCCTTGGCTGGGCTGCTTTGCTCAGTAAGAAGTCAGAGAAAAGGCCCTGGGGGACAGGCTTGGGGGGGACAGGTGGGGGGCGTTCCCCGGGATGGACTAGCATTGCCCATTGCTGCCCTGGTTGTAAGTAAGCCCGGTGGGGTCCCTTAGAGTTTGGGAGGTGCACGCCTGTGGGGGAAGGTGCAGGTGTGTTCCTGGGAGCGAGAGCGCCCTGGACCTTCGCTTTGAGGAATTTTAAAGCCTGGGTGTTTAGGGGAAGATCTCAATAGAGTATTCAGGTTTTATGCTGATGCATCAAAATGAGGTTTATTCTCTTGAAGTCATCTGTCCTTGGGGGTGGTCAGCAAATGGCACTCATGGATTTCTGGTTAGTAGGGCGATTTAAGCTATTTATCCTCTGGTTGGGGAGGAGTGTTCCTGGGTTAGGGAAGATAGGATTTACTAGATGGCTGCAAACTGCTGTTTAATGGTCTCCGTTTCCCTGTTCTGCTTGTCCTGGCTTACTAGCCTGTCTCACAATGAGATGATGGAGGAGTCAAAATGGAAAAGAGCCAGGAAATGGGAACACCCTCCCCACCCCAAGATGGGGCTCTGGGCTGCACTGGGTACAGCCCAGGGTACACTGGGTAGCTGGGAGGAAGCAAAAGTGGGCTGAAGAGGTTCTGAACAGTGGACATCTTCTGACAGATGGTCCATGGAGGATCTCTCAAAGCTCTTGATTTTTATTTTTCTGTGGGATGTGTAAGTGGAACAGATTATTATCCCAGGCAGAGCACAATTTATTTTTCTCAGCTTTAACATTTTCATATTCTTTAGAAATATTCCCCCATGAGTACCCTCAAATATTACTCCCTTTACTCCTTTCCAGTTTTATATTCAATTAAAAATGTTTTTTCAAGTTTTTATAAACATAGCCACAGTGAAAAAGAGTACTGAAGTTAGAGTCAATACACCCTAGGTTGGAATAATGACTTTATCTACTAGTCCTGTGACCTTAACAAAGTCAGCCTAAGTATAAAATGTAATGTTTGTGAGTTAGAAGAGTTTGGGAAGTTAAGATGATGAAAAAATGCCTAGCGTCCTCAATGGAAGGGAAGGGAAGGGAAGGGAAGGGAAGGGAAGGGAAGGGAAGGGAAGGGAAGGATGGGGTGGGAGGGGTGGAGGGGAGGGACAGGGACGGGAGGGGAGGGGACGGGGACGGGAGGGGAATGGTTATCAATAAATATTGGATCAGTTTGGATGCATACTTCTTCCCAATTTTTATTACTTTTCAAAGTATTCCTGAGCCAGGTATCTCAGCTGGTTAGAACGTTGTTCCAATATGCCAACGTTGCAGATTTCATCCCGGTCAGGGCACATATAAGAATCAACCAATGAATGTATGACCAAGTGGAACCATAAATCGCTGTTTTTCTCCCTTCCTCTCTCTTTAAAATCAAATAGGTAAAAAATAAAGTATTCCTGAAACTATTCCATTAATCTTCTATGTTATTTGTTAGTATTGTGGGGATTTAGTTGATGTATGTTGTACTATTTAATCACAACACTAATAGTGGATCACTGAAAGAATTCAGCTTGGTCCCTATGATATTTTTTTTCCCTATGATATTTCTAACCTCAGATTCATATTTGATAGCTCCTGACAATTCAGTGACTACACATCCTGAAACCTAAAATCTTAGGCATATATGATTTGAATACCAGGATATTTTGTAAGCTCCATCCTGTGGTCTACAAAATCTGTGCTGTGCCTTGAAAATGCCTTCTTAGAACACCAGTAATACAGTTAGGGGGAAATTAGTCACTAATTGCAAGCCACTGACAAAATTGCAAGGATTTGGCTTTATCTGCCGGAAGCTGGTCCATCCTTGCTGCTTGACACAGTCGCTGCAGGAAAGAAACATCTGCACAGCATATGTTTCAAGGGACCTGGCGTATATAGCATACTGTTCTTAATATGTTTGCTACCCTTAGCGCTATGTGTTTTAACCAAGGTCACCTCTCTGAGAAAGGTTGTTTCCCCAGGTAGGGATTTTTCCCTGAAGTTAGGGAGGGAATAAAACCCCTTAACTAAGTGCCAGGAAGGTAGTTAATCACTTTAACTACGAACAATCACGCTTAAGCTAACATAATCTTTACTCCCTGGAATGGAGATAAGAAACGCCCTAACCTTTGCAATAGAAATTGACAGGATTAAAATCAACTGGTATAAATACAGATGTAACAAGACAATAAAAGACAGAACTTTGCTGGAGATCCTGACCAGAACTTCGCTGGAGATCCTAGCCAGAACTTGGCTGGAGATCCTGGCTAGAGATCCTGGCTAGGCTGCTGATCAACTGAAAGCTGCCTCTGTGTCATTCCTTCTTCGCCGTCTCCGTCCACACCTTGGTGAACCCCTGGACCTCTTGGGGCTGGACCCCAACATTTATCTAAGCTGATTAGCTTTTACTTACAAATTTTTATAACATTTTATTCCTTACAAAGCAATGATTTCTGGCAAATTCTGAGATTGCCCTAAATTTTGCAGCTGTATATAACTTGGTATTTCTTGCAATTAAAGAAATTTCAAAGACAGTGTCTTCTGGCCTCTTCCACACAAATCCTTACACGAGAAAAGAACTTTAGTAGGAGTTGCCATTTTGTCAGGGATTGACTACAATGGCTTAACCACATTAGGGTTTATTTTCCCTAAGTAAGGAAATTCAAGGGTATGTAGTCCAGACTGAAGCTATGAAGCCATGGTGGCTTCATGGGATAGAAATCAGGGCTCTTCCTTTCTTTCTAGCATCCATATGGTCTACAACAAATGCTGGAATTCCAGCCATCACATCTACCTTGCAGGCAGCAGGCAGCGACAACAGGGAAAAGACCAAAGGGTGCATTCTAGCTGTGTGTTTTCCTTCTGTGGAGCTATTCTAGAACCCTCACTGAACAATTACAAAAGGATGCATCTTGCCCGGCCTGTGTGGATCAGTGGTTGAGCTTCTGACCATGAACCAGGAGTTCACGGTTCCATTCCTGGGGCCTGACTCAATTGTTGAACGAATCGATGAAATTGTTAGGACAAAGGTCTTAAATGCTATTCTTGCTAAATGTTAAAATGTAGCACAGTATTTTGCAGAAGCAGCTGCAAACAGGAGGAGCTTGAGAAGAACCCAACCAGATAAGTGTAGCCAACTTCAAAGAAGAAATCAATGTGTAATTAATCAAATAGTATATATAAGCAAGGGCTAAGCCTTCCTGGAGACAGAGCTTCGGATGTGAATCCCTGTCTCCTTTACTTGCTGCAAGTAAATAAAACCTCCTAACTGTCATGTCTGGTTCTTGACTAGAACACCCCTTGTGTTCTGTAATCGATGTGTAAATACTTTTTAATTCATCATATAGATGAATGAATGAATATTAGAATAATTTTCATATATTTT